ATTAAGCAAATCAATATATGGCTATAAAATTATGGGCTGTAAAAATATTGTTTGTTACTATATTGAAGATTAAAACATGTAATTTAATAGCAAAGTAACAATGGGAATAGAAAACTCAGAGTCACCCTTCCATGTGAGATAAATTGAAAATATATTTTTCAGGTAATATAAAGGCATTGCGTTCTTAATTTGTACTTGATGAAGGGAGTTAATGAAGAGATTAAGAGAGAGACTCCACACCCTCTGTTGGCTGAAAAAGAGTCTGAGTTTTCTGATGGAATTAAAGTGGGATGTCTGCTTTGGGAACAAGTCCATGGTGGAGCTCAAAGCAGAAATCTTCAGAGAACAAATTCATATAATGCATAGCAGAAATTTACTTTTTTTTTTTTCTTGCTTTTTCTGCCACACAGCAGGGAATATTCCAGCTTTGTTTTATCCTTGTTGAACATCATCCTATATTTTTTCCAACAACAGAAAGTCTGTTTTCCTCTTTGTTAGTAAAGGCTACATAATCCAGGTCTAATGATATCTGTTCTGCCATTCCCAAGAAAATATAGTTTTCTGAAAATATGGCAAAACCTATCTGGTCTTGAGGGATACTAGTGTCACAACAAAAGTTCTTGCATATACTGAAAACCCTGAATAGATGTTTGGTTTCCTTTGTTGCATTAACTTTTCTACATGCAAGACTGCTCAGAGTAGAAAAATAATAGAATTGTTCTTGGAAGTTACTATCAAGATTTCCATTTAAATCTTCTGGTTCTGGGAATTTATAAAGCTGTGGTAAAAAGTTTTAACAGTCTGAAACTGAGACATGACATCAGCCTAGGAAAAATACATTTTACCAAGTTCATCAAAAGCAAAGGAAAATGATTCGCTCATCTTTTTTTTAACAATCTGAAAATGCAGAATAGAATAATGTTCTGCATTAGTTCCCCATCTCATACTGATGAAGCTTCTGAGAACTGGGAAAGCTTGTAAGTTAGGTGCCAACAGATCTGAAATACTTTTGCCTGAGTTATGAGCTCTGCTTCAGAAAACATACTGGGAAACATTTAACTTTGAGAGGCAAATCACTCTAAACTGGGCACAGGACAAAGGCAACTACATTTGAGGCCTTTGGTCCAAAGCTAATCACATTCTTCCAGCACTGAGTATGAGCAAAAAAAAGTCCAAGTAGATGTGTATGTCAATAATGCTTACAGAGATGACAGAGGTACTAAACCTGGCAGAAACATTGCTATCTGATCAGCTACATAATCAGCACCAAAGAAAAGCACCAAAGTACTAGAATTGGAAATACTTTAGAGCAGGGATCCAAAATAGATTTTTGCTTTCTTTTTTTGTTTGTTTGTTTGCTTGTTTTTTTGTTTTGTTTTGTTTTGATTTTGATTTGTGTCATGGATAAAAATGGGAAGCAAGAGAAATGAAAAGAAAAGCCTATGAAAATAAAATTATTAAATGCAGTACAGGCAGAAAAAAAAATGACAGAGAGTGAGACAAGGAAGAAACAAAGAGATTTTAAGATAGAAACAGAAGATTAAGATTTTATTAAATGGTAACACCTTACTATGTTAGAAGAGGAATAACTGGGGAAAAAAAAAGAGAAAGAGGAAGAGGAAGAGGAAAGAAAAAGAAAAAGAGGAAGAGAAAGAGGAAGAGAAAGAGAAAAGAGAAAGAGGAAGAGAAAGAGAAAGAGGAAGAGATAGAGAAAGA